TAAAAAATTAAAAAATATTATTGTAATAAATATTTATTAAAAAATTAAAATTTTTTATTTTTAAAATATAAATTAAATATATTTTTTTAATATTTTAAAAATAAAATAAATAAACATTAATCTATATATATATGTGCGTGTGTATATATATATATATATAAAGATTGAGAACGTTCTACGAGCTTACTAACCACGTTATCCTACAAGGACTTTTTCATATTAAAATTTAACAGGTTTGGGTTCTACTTGTACCCTTAAATTTTTAAAAGAAATAAATAAATAAATGAACGACGTTTTATTCGATTATTATTGTATATGGTAACGACATCACCAAACACCGTGAAAGACTAACAGTCAAAAGGAAAAAGGACCAAAAAGAAGTTGCATCACCAAACACATCAAACAAAATCCAACACATTAAACGTTTCAGGCCACACCAACACCAGCACCAGCTCCGCCGCTACCTGCAACCGTAGTCAACTCCTTGGCCATGGGTGCAACTGAACCTGTAATATCCTCTACTTGAAAATCAAGCTCCTTTACCCTTCATTTTTGCTTTTAATTTCTTCTGCTTTTGTTCTCCTCTTTCTCCAGAGTCTAAAAGTTCTGTTTTTTTGGCTGTGATTTTGTCTAGGTGGTAGAAAGAGAAAATCAGGAAAGAGAAGAATTAGAGAATGAGAAGAAAGGAGAAGAGGAAGAAAAAGAAGAAGAGGTGGAGAAGGGAGAAGAAGAAGAAGAAGAAGAAGAAGAAGAAGAAGAGGGAGATGTGGAAAAAGGAAAAGTGGATGCTGTTATGGAAGAAAACGTGATAGAGAAAAATAATGAAGGAAGAGACCATCTTAATGTATCAATGTTGCAGAGATTGAACCCCACGAACCCTTTGCGGATTATCATCAATGGCGGCAGAAGGGTCCACACTCCTCCTCAGCCTCATCATCAACCTCCTCCTCCTTCTCAGCCTAATCGTCCGCCTCCTTCCCACTATTCACAGCCTCGTTCTACTCCTATACCAACTCCACCACAAGTAAGATTCTTAGGTAGAAACGAATTAAAATATGCTGTCCTCTTCCCCTTTCTTCTCAGAAACATAAAACTGTTTAAAGATTACAATTTTTTTTTCTTCTTCAAGAAAATGGGTATTTCCTAAAATTTTAGCTATTAATCTGATTTTGTGTGTGTGTTTCATAGGTTACAAAAATGTCTTAATTTCTTGATGGTTTTCAAGTCAACACAGCTTGAAACTTGAATAAAAGTAATTTTGCTAATTATGTAATTTGTTAGGGGCTTTTTATTTTTTTGGTTATTAATTTTATTTTATTTTGTTGGTCTTTGCCTGAGCAGCCATCACCAATAACATTGAATTCAAGAAAATATACCAACAAAATATCTCTGTTTCTGTTCATGCTGCATATGGTTGTGGCTGTTGGGCTAGAATGTTTTCTCATATTCAGGGGAATTCAAGGGCTAATTAAAGCACCAGCGTCAGTAAAACAGAGGGAGAAAATGGTACTTGAATATTTGCTGCCACAAGTTGAAGCTGCATCGCTCTTGAGCATATCTCTTGCATTTGCCTGGCAAAAGGCAGTGAGGCAATGGCCTCATTTCATGATTCATTTCATACTTTGGAGCTCCTTTGTTATGAGCTTGTCGGCTGGAATTCTTCTGGTTTGCTTCCAGAGACCTACCACAGATGCTGTTGGGGTTTGCTTCATTGCCTTTGCAATTGGTAATGGCTTGTATGCTTGTTGGGTTAGTCCGAGAATTAAGTTCTGTACCAAGGTTTTGATCAAAGCAATGGAACCTACTTCCAAATTTGAAGATTTAAACCACCCCACTTATGTGATGCTTGGGGCTGGATTCATATGGATGTCTATGTGGATTTTGGCTGTGATTGGAACCTTTAATTTCCCCTTTCAACCATTGATTATAATTGTATTGTTCTTGAGCTTGGCTTGGACGGCTGAAGTCTTGAGAAATGTTGCCAATTTAACAGTTAGCAGGGCAATTTCTTTGTTTTACCTCAGAGGAATGCAGTCCAGTACTAACTTCTGCTTCCAAAGAGCCTTATCCCTGAACCTTGGAAGTGCTTGTCTAGGATCCTTATTCGTTCCTACAATAGAAGCACTGAGAATTGTAGCAAGAGGTTTGAATTTGCTTGAGGGTGAAGATGAATTCATGTTTTCTTGTGCTCACTGCTGCCTCAATGTGATGGAAGCCATCTTCAATTATGGAAATGGCTGGGCATTTGTACAGGTATTATTCTTGATTCTTCAAAAGAATTCTGAATTGCTAAATATTATTTCTAGTCAAAAACACATGGGTTAATGTTTCAACTTTTACTAAGATTTGATGAAAGTTAGACTTTTCAACATCTGCCCTAGATTATAAATCTTCAATCCAATTCTTTATTGCTTCAAGTTTCAATCATTATCTGAATTCTTAATCTAATTTTTACAGATAGCTGCCTATGGAAAGGGTTTTGTTAGGGCATCACAGGATACTTGGGCCCTGTTTAAGGGACAAAATATGGAAATCATTGTTGATTCAGACATAACCAGTTCAATTTGCTTCCTCACTGGAGTCTGCAGTGGCTCCATCTGTGTCGTCATGGCTGCTGCCTGGACATTTAAACTGCACCAAACCTTCACTGCTACCGTTTCTCTCGTTACTTTCATCATTGGATACCTCATGGTAAGTAAGCAGTCCAACTTGGACTTTCTTTAAAATAACTTTTTTTTTTTTCCCTTTTATCTGACCTTCCTTTAATAACATTTATAAATAATATCATGAATTAACTTGAAACTTATCATGAATCATTATTTAATCTAAATGCTAACGGAATGTTGTGATCTATACATTCTAGACGAGGATTGCCATGGCATTGCCCCATGCTTGTGTGAGTTGTTACTACGTCTGTTACGCAGAAGACCCGCAGATCAGACTGTTTGATAATACCATAAAGGATCGTCTCAACCTTATAGAATTAGGCCGTGACAACCTGGTGCCGACACCTCGAGTTCCAGTTCCCCGACGATTCTCTGCAACGTAATATTCTATAAAGTTAAGCTGGGGAATTCCATTTCTCCTGCGGACGTACAGGGGAAATGACTGCAATGGGGCCATTTTTAGGAAATGCAATCCTGCATTGGTCACTCTCAATGGGGCCACAAGGGACCAGACTTCAGCGTCACGGTAAAATTATCTGCAAGGGCTGATGAATGTGAAAGCGCAATTTCTACCATTATTGAGAGTTTTCTTGGATTGCGGAAGAAAGAAAGTGGAGAGCCCACTGAGTCTGAGATACCCATTTCCACAAGGCAACAAATGATAAAAGTAGCTTTTTCAAGTCCCTCTTTTGTACCATAGTTCACAATTTGCGTCCCATGGTTCACATTTGCATATGCAACTTCTGAATTCAAGAGAAGGACATCCATATCTTGATAACTTTCGTCTTTATCTTTAAACCCACGTGCCATTATTTAATTTAATTGTACCTCCCCGGTTTAATCTTGTAAATCTCAATGTACATTTTTGCATTTAATATAAGATTTTCTTTGGTAAAATATGGAATGGATCAATAAACATGTTAGTGTTTACCCTCAATTTTACAATTACTCATGCAGCTGGTATTTTGTTCGGGAAAAAGGAAAATTTAAAATATTTTGGTATTAAAAATGTAAGAATATTTAATAATAATTATATGATAAATTTAATAAAATTAATTTTTATATTACATATTACATATTTAATAATTATAATTAGATGTTTTAATACTTTTAATATCAAAATATCTTCATTCTCTCTTGTTTTGTTTATTGATAAAATTATTTTATTAATAATTTAAATGCAAACATGTAGCAATTCAGAATAAATGGAACATGTGGAGACATGTGACACCTTTTAATTGATTTGCAAAAATTGGTATAAACAGTTAGGTTTTGCATAAATATTAATAAAGCGGTGAATAAAATAAGTAGATGAATCGCCGTTCCACACTTTTTGAATCGTGTTCTTATTATTATGTTTAAAGTGCTGCATCAGTTGAAGAAAACAGGGGCAAATTTGAATTAAAACAACAAGATAAGATATTGGAAATTAAATATTTTAATAAAAAATAAAATAATATATTTTATAGATTAAATTTGTTATCTTATTAATAATTTAATCAAACTAATCGTTATAAATTAATTGTCTTATTTAATGACACATTATTTCATCATAGTTACTTGATTTATTCTTATTATTAATCTACAAATGAGAGTTATATAATCATGAATTTTATAAATAAAACATGTCATTTTATTCAACTAAGGGTGTTCCTCCACATTCTTCTATTTTTCTTACCTTACTTTATCTTCTAAATATTCTTGGTATAGAAGAGTATTTTGAGTTAAGTAACTTTATAGGTAGTGTAGATTCATAAAGTGTAATTATAAAATTATAGTTTCTTAGGGAAGACATGTTATGTATATATTTACTGTATGGGGCAATCTATTCTTTGCAGAAGTGTAAATTAACTTAAAATAAGTAAGTTTTTCACACATATTTTGATGATAAATTTTTATTGATATTTTTTTTTATGAATTCACTAATTATTATTTTATTTGATCTTGTAATCGAGACACAACAATAACATCATATGGAGATGAAGGAGAGTGTGTGAGGAACAACAATTTTAAGGAGCATCAATATGCAAAACAAAATTAAAACATTTGCTACCTTGTATAAACAAAATAAATTTTTCTTTTTTATTTTCTTGATTATATATGCTCCAAACATGTACAAATTGAGTTTTTTAGGGTGCATCCATTTCATAACGAATTGAGGGTTGAGTTTTATATTTTTAATAAAATTTGTAACTTATTGAATGAGATGTCTTAGTTATGAGAGCAGCCTTGATAAATTTCACCTATGTAGGTGTCGAAATGAGGCTACTCCTATGAAAATTAGATGGATAATTATCTAGATCTCCTATGAAAACTGAAATCATGCCCAAGGCCATAATACCCCACCTATGTGAAAAACTCAACATTCGAATCATTATATGTATGATACAATTCTTGTATCTTCCAATGGAGTTATGGTTCAACATTTAGTTCATTGTTGACTTTAGATTAAAAATTGCATGTTGACTTATTAAGTAAAGGTTCAAGGTTTAACTACCTTATAATGCATAATAATCCATCTTTACCCAAAAAAGAAAAAAGGTTTATTTTTTTATTAAAATAATGGGAGAACTATTAAAACTTAAATATTTTAATAAAATAAAATAATATATTTTATAATTTAAATTTATTGTCCGATTAATGACTTAATCAAACTATATATTGTAGGTTAACTGTTTTACTTATAGGTATATTATTTCATAATAATTGCTCAACTTATTCCTATAATTAACATACAAATGAGAGTTACACAATTATAAGTCTTATAAATAAAACATGTAATTTTTCACAACTAAGGGTGTTTCTTCACATTCTTATGTTTTTCTTACCTTTTGTCTTTTAAATATTCTTGGCATAGAAGGCTATTTTGAGTGAAGTGACTCTATAGGTAGTGTAGATTGTGTAATTATAAAATTGTAGCATTCTGAGAGCAACATGTTATGTATATATCTACTACACCAATCAATCTACTCTCCACAAAGACGTGAATTACTTTAAAGTAAGTAAGTTTTCATGGCTATTTTGATAATTTCTTATTAATATTTTTTGATGAATTTACTAATTATTATTTTATTTGATCTTGTGACCAAAACACAACAACGACATAATGTAGAGATGGAGGAAAGTGTGCGATGAACAACATGAGAAACAAAACACATGTTTATTACAGAACAGTTTTAGCGTAATTCCATTTCCCATGTGGAGAAGAAGCTAGACCCACTGCTTGGAAGTTTCAACCAACCCTGCATGAGAAGATGAGAAAATTTTGGTTAATATAGAAACCAAAATTTTACCACTACTATTATAGAAAGCAAGAGAAAAGAGATAGGGATGACATCAGTACTTGGAACAATCAACGTTGGGTGAAACGGCGACAGGCAAGGTGATTCCACAATTAGCTGCCAAACCCTGGGCTAACTGCTGGTTTGGATTAATTTTCTGTGCAGCGGACTTGATGCATTGACAAGCAGTCTTCTTATCAGCAGAGGATGTTGCAGCAGCTGCAAGAGCAGAGGCTCCAGCACAGCAAGAAGATGGTGGTGCTCCAGTTCCATTCACAAGGTAGTTCACACAAGGTCTCAGGTCCTTGATCACATCACTGCAGGAAATGGCTGCCTCCGAAGCTGGTGCAAGCAACACAAGGAGCACCAGAGCAGCCACAAAATTGAGTTTGATTCCTAAAGACATCATGACGATTGATCTCACCTTGGGCTTGCTCTCTACTACTGCCTCAAGCGGGTCTTTTTCTTTTTATAGAAGGCTCGGAGAGGGAAGCTGGCCGGTCCAAGTAAAGCCTCAAAATTTTAAAACAATTTCTGCTCTTATTTGGTTGAGATATTAAGTGCAGCAAGAAAGCAAGGATATATCTAGATCTCTTTGATTTTCTTGTTTCTTAACGTTGTGAACAAGCTTATCAAATGGGCAAATACAGCTTTGCCACGTTAATTATAGCCACAACAGTACAAGAAACATCAAAGATAAGTTCTCTGCTCATAGTATGAACTCTTATTTCTGTTTCAAGAATAGAGATATCTTAACCCCACATGTTATAATGAAATAATTTATTCATGTTTCTTATTTAGCTTGCTAAACTGGTAGATTTAAATAAAATTGACCAAGTTATACCCAACATGTTCAATCGAGAAAAGGTTTAGGCTAGAATACAAATTTTGTTATTTTTTTATTTAACAATACAATTTTTTGAAGTTTTTAAATCAAACAGTAAATTTTATTTTTTTCTCTTTAAGGTTACAAACTTTGTACTATTTTGATTAAAATTATTATTTATAACATTTATAACATCATCATTGCCATCTAATAAATTTTTAAACAAAAAAATACAAAATTCATTTCATTTTTTAGAGAAAAATAAAAGTTTATCACGTAATTTAAAAACCCAAAAATATCCATATATTTAAATAGAAAAAATGGCAATATCCATATTTTTATTTGCAAAATTTCTCATTCCATTCAAACTATAAACTGTGCTTAAACCAGAAATTCTTTCACTTTAACAATACTTTTTTAACATCTACATAATCACTTCAACAGGCCAGAGAAACCGAGACCTAACAACTAACCAGCTTTTTCTACAACTTTTAACTTTCACATTACTAAACATGTATTATACATGTTTAGAAACAGACCCGATCTACCTTGCAAATGTTTCTAATTAACTGACACTCGTACATTTTCGACTTCATTATGCAAAGCCATCACATAGAAACATAGGCACCAGTCATTCTCTTGTTGAAAGCATTTTGTTTCCTTTTCTCATCACTTGGTTCCAAATTCTAATACAAAATGCGAAGGCATGGCTAAGGGATTACAGATCCAAGAGAAAAGAAAACTAAGAAAGCCACTTTACATCCAAAAATGAGAAGAAAGACCTGTTAGAGACTATCAAAAACCAGAACATGACAAAGATATGAGCTGCAAAAATGAGGATGGGAACTTTCTTTTGTAAGGTGAAACATGCCACCGAGTCTGCTAGGCTGGCCTTAGGTTATACAAAAAAACACACCTTTCTTTTGCAAGGTCAGACATCTAACCATATGTATACACACAAACCAGTGGAAATTACAAGGACTGAAAAACGACATCACCCCTTATAAATCTTATTCAAGGAATGAAAAACCGCCAGAACACAATCCGAGATAATGGTTCATATTCCTCTTGTTCTAATGACCATAACATAAAGCAAATCTGAATACAACGAAGTTAAATTATAACTAACTATTGCCATCACAGCATTAATGGATTTGAAACCGTTGCTCTAACAAGCCCAAGTTAGGGCACACAGACAAGAGGTAGTCCTGTTTCACACATACCATTTCTACTTCAACAGAGATTATAATGCAACAATTGGCCAAAAAGACATCGAACTATTACAGCGATTAAAAATTGCAACTGTTTAATGATAACTCAAAATGGTCCAATAAATACCTAATTTACCCTTTGCATCATGATTCATGAGCAACACCTAATTTTTTGCAAAACTGAAGATAGAAAAAAAATTGGCAAACTGTTTCAAACACTACTCAAAATTGAGCATGGAGGGGAAGAAAAGCCAAACAGCAACATAAATCATAAATTTCAAAAAGTGAAAAAAAAAAGATGGTTCTGTCAATCCAAATACTAAATTAGACAGGCCGATTTTAAAGGCAGGAGGACAACAAAAACAAGCACATAACCACAAGCTTGGTAATTGCTAACCAGTGCTTATGAATGTAAAGAAGAGTACAGATTTTCCATAATGTATTATGACTTTCACAGACAAACCAACAATACTAGCTGGCACCAATAATAATAAAGTCAAATGCCACACCTGCTTCTCTGAATACTTAGTTTGCCTCCCACCATCATCCTGCTTTTGTATCTGATTTAGTGCTGGCCTTCAACTCTGATTTTGAGTCTCCCCTTGTTTGAGTGACCTCTGAGCTTCTTGCCTCACCAGAACAACACCCACCACCATGCTGATGGTGATGTTGATGTTGATGTTGATGTTGATGGTGATGGCCATGATGGTGGCTTTGCTTCTCCTTTAGCTGCTTCCGCATGTCATATGCATCCTCACCATCAGCATAATACTTAGCTTCCACATCATGAATCTTATACCCCAATGTCTCTGTGTAAAGGTTAAATGCTGCCCTATTACTCTTCCTCACGTGCA